TTACAATCCTATAACTAATAATTCATACTTTACCCTCATTACATAACGTAACGTAATGTAACGTAACGTAACGTAACCTAACCTAACCTAATCTAACCTCCCCACGATGTTCCCTGCGTAATAACTAGTCTAATTAAGTTCTATGATTTACGTCAGTTTAATCAATACAACATTATGAGTGTGTGTGCTCAACTTACCAGTGTATACAGAGAGCCAGTCACCTCATCACATTTCTATAAATATCTTATAAGGATAAATCTCTATATTATGGTATATCTATCAGATATTTTGACTACTCTTCAATCATTCATTTTTATGGCCATATCCTCGTACAGTAAAATGTCTGTCTGTTCATTCATCTGTCTGTCTGTCTGTCTGTCTGTGTCTATATGTCTGTGTATTTCAAGAGAATCGTCATCTTCAGGAACGAGGTAGATAGCATAATCTTTATAATCAATGTAACCAATGGCTAGACGGCTCGTGTGTATGTGCGTGAGAGAGAGAGAGAGAGAGACATGCGTGTGTACTGTATGTGTGTGTGTGTGTCATGTATGTAGTGTACAGTACCGGGTGGTGGCAAGTAGTCATAACACTTCTCGCCAGGGCTCAGGTGATCAACGAGATATTATTGTCTTCCGCTGAGCCGCAATTAACGTTCGTTTTCTCCGTTTCCTGGCCTTGGTGTACGCTGGGTGGCCTGAATGGACCTGTACTTGTGGATGATAGAAATCAGAGAGAGAGAGAGAGAGAGAGAGAGAGAGAGAGAGAGAGAGAGAGAGAGAGAGAGAGAGAGAGAGAGAGAGAGACGTTCTTCTAGCCTGTACTTCAACAAGACGATGGGGGAAGAAACATCAGATAAATCAATGACTCTTATGTTACATTCCCTAACGAGTGTTTAAAGGGAGATATTTCCTCACAGTGATGGCAGAAGGTTTTGTGAGCCGTATGTATGTATGTATGTATGTATGTATGTATGTATGTATGTATGAATGTATGTATGAATGTATGTTTCCTAAAAATAAAAAATGAAAAATGATTTAATTCGGTATAATAAGAAGGTAAATGCCGGGTGAAATAATTACAATCTTGATAAAAGTGATTGTCTTCAAGGTCGAACTTACTGATAAAGGTCAAGATCACAGGTATAGGTCAAGGTCACAGGTGTAGGTCAAGGTCACAGGTATAGGTCAAGATCACGGGTATAGGTCAAGGTCACGGTATAGGTCAGGTCACAGGTATAGGTCAAGGTCACAGGTGTAGGTCGAGGTCAGGTATAGGTCAAGATCACAGTATAGGTCAAGATCAAGGGTATAGGTCAGGGTCACAGGTGTAGGTCAAGATCACAGGTGAGATAAGGTCACAGAGAAATGACCAGGTATAGGTCAAGGTCACGGTATAGTCAAGGTCACAGGTATAGGCTAAGGTCACGGGTATAGGTCAAGGTCACAGGTATAGGTCAAGGTCACAGGTATAGGTCAAGATCACGGGTGTAGGTCAAGGTCACAGTATAGGTCAAGGTCACAGGTGTAGGTCAAGGTCAGTGGTATAGGTCAAGATCACAGTAGGTAAGATCACGGGTATAGGTCAAGGTCACAGGTATAGGCCGGGGTATAGGTCAAAGTCCAGGTGTAGGTCGAGGTCACAGGTATAGGTCAAGGTCACAGGTGTAGGTCAAGATCACAGGTATAGTCAAGGTCACAGGTATAGGTCAAGATCACAGGTATAGGTCAAGGTCACAGGTATAGGTCAAGGTACAGTGGGACAAGATCACAGGTATAGGTCAAGGTCACAGGTGGAGATAAGATCGGTATAGGTCAAGGTCACAGGCAGGTAAGGTCACAGTGGCAAGTTAAGGTCACAGGATAGGTCAAGGTCACAGGTATAGGTCAAGGTCAGGTGTAGTCAAGATCAAGGTATAGGTTAAGATCAGGTATAGGTCAAGATCACAGGTAGGTCAAGATCACAGGTATAGGTCAAGATCACGGTATAGGTTAAGATCACAGGTAGTCAAGATCACAGGTATAATGTCACAGGTATAGGTCAAGATCGGGTATAGGTCAAGATCACGGATTGTAAAGGTCACAGGGTATAGGTCAGTCACAGGTATAGGTTAAGGTCACAGGTATAGTCAAGGTCACAGGTATAGGTCATCGTAGGTCAAGATCACAGGTATAGGTCAAGGTCACAGGTATAGGTCATACAGGTATAGGTTAAGGTCACAGGTATAGGTCAAGATCACGTATAGGTTAATACAGGTAGGTCAAGATCACAGGTATAGCCGATCACAGGTATAGGTCAAGATCACGGTATAGGTTAAGATCACAGGTATAGGTCAAGATCACAGGTATAGGTTAATGTCACAGGTATAGGTCAAGGTCACGGGTATAGGTCAAGATCACGGGTATAGTCAAGACTTGCAGGTCAAGATTACGGGTATAGGTCAAGATCACGGGTATAGGTCAAGGTCACAGGTATAGGTCAAGGTCACAGGTATAGGTCACAGGTATAGGTCACAGGTATAGGTCAAGGTCTCAGGTATAGGTCAAGGTCACAGGTATAGGTCAAGGTCTCAGTGTAGTCAAGGTCACAGGTATAGGTCAAGATCACGGTAGAGGTTAAGATCAGTATAGGTCAAGGTCACAGGTATAGGTCAAGGTCACAGATATAGGTCAAGGTCACGGGTATAGGTCAAGATCACGGGTATAGTCAAGATCACGGGTATAGGTCAAGATCACGGGTATAGGTCAAGATCACGGGTATAGGTCAAGTCACAGGTATGAGGGTCAAGGTCACAGGTATAGGTCACAGGTATAGGTCAAGCAGGTATAGGTCAAGGTCTCAGGTATAGGTCAAGGTCACAGGTATAGGTCAGTGCTCAGGTATAGGTCAAGGTCACAGGTATAGGTCAAGGTCACAGGTATAGGCCAAGGTCACAGGTATGGTCACAGGTATAGGTTAAGGTCACAGGTAGAGGTCAAGGTCACAGGTATAGGTCAAGGTCACAGGTATAGGTCAAGGTCACAGGTATAGGTCAAGGTCACAGGTATAGGTTAGTCACAGGTATAGGTCAAGATCACAGGGTATAGGTCAAGATCACAGTATAGGTCAAGATCACAGGTATAGGTCAAGATCACAGGTAGGTCAAGATCACAGGTATAGGTCAAGGTCACAGGTATAGGTCAAGGTCACGGGTATAGGTCAAGGTCACGGGTATAGGTCAAGATCACAGGTATAGGTTAATGTCACAGGTATAGGTCAAGATCACAGGTATAGGTCAAGATCACGTATAGGTCAAGATCACGGGTATAGGTTAAGATCACAGGTATAGGTCAAGATCACAGGTATAGGTTAAGGTCACAGGTATAGTCAAGATCACAGGTATAGTCAAGGTCACAGGTATAGGTCAAGGTCACCGGTATAGGTCAAGGTCACAGGTATAGGTCAAGGTCACAGGTATAGGTCAAGGTCACAGGTAGGTCAAGATCACGGGTATAGGTCAAGATCACAGATAGTCAAGGTCACAGGTATAGGTCAAGATCACGGGTATAGGTCAAGGTCACAGGTATAGGTCAAGATCACGGGTATAGGTCAAGGTCACAGGTATGGGTCACAGGTATAGGTCAAGGTCTCAGGTATAGGTCAAGGTCACAGGTATAGGTCAAAGTCACAGGTATAGGTCAAGGTCACAGGTATAGGTCAAGGTCACAGGTATAGGTCAAGATCACGGGTATAGGTCAAGGTCACAGGTATAGGTCAAGGTCACAGGTATAGGTCAAGGTCTCAGGTATAGGTCAAGGTCACAGGTATAGGTCAAGATCACGGGTATAGGTCAAGGTCAAGGTGTATAGGTCAAGCAGGTATAGGTCAAGGTCTCAGGTATAGGTCAAGGTCACAGGTATAGGTCAAAGTCACAGGTATAGTTCAAGGTCACAGGTATAGGGTCACAGGTATAGGTCAAGGTCTCAGGTATAGTCAAAGTCTCAGTATAGGTCAAGGTCACAGATATAGGTCAAGGTCACAGGTATAGGTCATGATTTTCCCAACTTCTCTTAAAGCCTGTGAAAAATAGACGCGAAAAAGCCTTGCACTTTGTGAAATATGTATCAGACATCAACAGTAATAACATAATTTCCCTCGTATTGTCAACACCGAGGATTATCTCGCCGTATGACTCATAGATGGCGCTGGAAATCATCACTGGATTTAGTCGTTGGTATTTCATGTATGTAGTATTTTCATTTGGTTTAGTCCTGGTTTAGATATTTAGTGTTCAGTTACTCTTAGACATCGTAAGCTGAGAATGTTGCTAAAATGTTATAAAAATTGTATAATGATGTGAAATTTGTTCTTTATATTACTTGTATCTTGAAACGATTTTTTTGTCGATTAATTGACTCCAAATGGAAAACTCTGAACCATGTAGCAGTAAATTATATATGTATATATATATATATAATATATATATATATATATATATATATATATATATATATATATATATATATATTATATATATATATATATATATATATATATATATATATATATATATATATATATATATATATAAAGGATCATCCTAAACCAAGAACGACCTAAAATGGTTTTGTATTCACGGGACAAGATTAAAAACATTATGGTAGCGTCCACCATTCTCCTATGATGGCAGGAATTTTGCAGTGAAATACATAACACTTCGTCTGGTGGCTGCGTGACTCAACTGGTATAGTTTCCACTCGATTGCTCAGCTGCACAGGATTATACAGTTTATAGGAGACTATAACTTAAGTGTACGAGCTGTAATGGGGGCAGATATTGGTGAAATCTGTTACAGAGAGGAGGAGCAGTAGATGGAAGGAATAAGAGAAATAGGAAAAGAGAGAAGGAAAAGAGATAAATCTACTGGAGAAAGGCTATAAGTCATGAGAGTATATACATAAATCTAAATCAACGATAAAAAAGATGAAAATACCATTTCATGAAGCAGAAGATTCACTAACCTGTCGCTACTTTTGCTCCGTTGTTTCTTGGTCATCGCGGTCTTCATGGCGTTCTTAGTGTTCACGAAGGCGTCACTCGGGCTGGTGTACCCCGGCGCCTTGGATCCTCGGCCTTCCATATGCTTATTCGTAAGACTCCTGGACCTCCTCCTGTCGATGGTGTTGGTGATCACGTTGGTGTTGGTCCGCCCCCTTGACCTGGGTGCATTGATCGCTGACCCCAATTGGTTCTGTTGTCCTTTGAGATTCATGCTCGTCAAAGTCCGTTTATAGCCGTTGGAGTTCGTTAATGGTTGTTGGACCTCGTTAATGATTGTAGAAATTCGTTAATTGCCGTTGGAATTCGTTAATTACCGTTGGAATTCGTTATGGCTGTTGAAATTCGTTATTTGGGGTTAAAATTCGTTAAAAATGTATCAACCAGTTGTTTATGGGTTTGAAAGCTATTTGAATTTGTGTTGGTTTACTCTTTCTCTTACATGATTTTTTTTTCTACCCGCTGAACCAACGATTTTTTGAGTCCATGCTCGTTAAATTCCGTTAGTGACCGTTAAAATTAGTTAGAACTATATGTATCAGTAGCTTATGTACTCGTAAGCTATTTGAATTTGCGTGGGATTTTGTCTTTTTGTTTTTGTTTTGTTTTATGCTCTTTGTTTTGGTTCTTGTTAATTGTTCATTGTTAATTGTTTTTATCTTACGGTCGTGAATTCTTATATTTTATTAATTAAATATTGTTTGTTTTTTGGTTGGATTTTAAATTAAACTTTTCACTCCTACAATATCTTTCGTTTTCAATAAATTTGTTACTTTTCAAATATATTTTCTAATCACCCGCCATTTCCTGTAATTTTGTTGCTTTTAATAATGAAGTCGTCATTAAGGTTGTCATAATTACAGTATTTCTTCACACTTTAATTTCGTCTTTCAGTAAATAATTAAAATGAAACAAAATGAGTAATGACTAATTGAGGAAAAATATTAGATATATTTCTCTTTTCATAAATATAGTTTCTATTTTCTTTTGTATCATAATGCAAAAAAAAAAAATCACAAATATTCAACCACTAAAATGTAATATAAAATCCTTGAATAACTGGTCTTTTATCTTAAACAACCAACTTATATAACTATGATAAATATTTTGCCAAACAGGATTTTTTCTACCATTTCGTTGTTTGTAAATAGTCAGTACCACTATACTCTTATATAATCTTGTCGTTAATTATAAAAGTCAGTAAATGTACTTCTATGCTTTCCTAGATATATTTATAGAAAAAAAAATCTCATCACATAATTTTGGTCCGTGGCGGGAGTCGTCAGAACACAAGAGCAACACACTGAGCATATAGGATTCATCGCTGCCTTTTGTGTTTCTTTAAATTGTCTGAATCCATCTGTTTATCTTTCAATATTGCTTTAAGTTTATATCACTATTGTACGTTACTTATGACACCACAGTCTTATGACACCACAGCCTTGCTTATGACACCACAGCCTTGGTCATAGTACAAACACTTCATGTCACTTCATAATCCCGGATGTGGTTGTGTTGATGGTCATTATCAAGTTGCAGATATAACGTCATTAAGACCGATACCACCAGGAGTGATGTCATGAACTGATGGATTGTGATGTCATGCTTCCTACATACGTCAATGTCACACTGAAAGAAATAAAAGACATTTTAAGTATTCGTGGCAGCTTTTATTTTTCTAATTCATAAAATTCTATAATCATGAATTATGGCTTTAAAAATTTCTGAAAAGTTAAGAAATTTTAGAAGAAGAAGACTGGCGACGTTACTGTGTTACTGTAGTATGTTTAAAGGTACAGGAAGTTACCGTAGACTGATTCCTGTACACTCTACTGTATTAGAATAAAAAATATCCGACCTAAGCCACAGGAGGGAGTGAATCAGGTTCGTGTAGAAGGACTCGGGTACACTTGGCTGTATGAAGGAAGTGTTATAATTAGGGGTGGAGGCGAGTCATTCATTTTAGGGAGGATGAAGGCTGGTGAAATTTTGTCGTGGTCCCTTTAAGGCTTCTGTGCTGGGAAGAGGGGGAAGGGGGGAAAGAGGGTGGGTGGAAGGGAGGAAGGGGAAGGTGAGGAAAGGGGGGTGGGAGGCCAGGAGAGGGGAGAAGGGCGTAGGGGGAGATGAGGAAAGAGGGGAGGTGGAATGGAGGAGAGGAAGTTGAGGAAGGGTGAAGGATAATTGTGTCCTTTCACTTATCTGCAGGTTGTGTGATGGATGGTGGTGGTGGTGGGATAGGGAGGAGGTGGGGGGGGGAGAGGGAGGAGGGGAGGGAGGGAGGGGAGGGAGGGAGGAGGGAGGGAGGGAGGAGGAGGGGAGGAGAAGGGAGGGAGGAAATTGGTGAAGGATGCAAAGGTCGGAGAGAGATAGGGAAGAAGGAAGGAATTCTAGAAAGGAGAAAGAAAATTAAAAAGGGAAGGAGTTAATAATCTAGAGAGAGAGAGAGAGAGAGAGAGAGAGAGAGAGAGAGAGAGAGAGAGAGAGAGAGAGACCTCATAAATTATACGTGGCAACATAATTTCTCCGACCTTCGGGAACTCTTCTATTACACGGAGTCACTTAACACCCCGAAGGTTCACACACACACACACACACACACACAGTAAAGGACGGTGCGACCTACATAACACACTAGGACGCTCAAGGTGTGAAGGCACAAATTAGGTACAAATTACACCATCTGGAGCAGGTGTTTGCGCCAGGGCCCAGGTGGTTCTGAGACACGTGAGGTATCTATCATCCCTCCTGCCTGGTGGTGTGTGAACCCAAGTGGCTGCCTTAAGTGCAAGTTACATATGTTAACGAAATTGGTTATGTGTGCACGCAACTGACTGTTATAAGAAAGAACTATGGTACAATTACTTTTAACTGGTGTTTGTGAGGACGCAGGTGACTGTCTCAAGATATATTATTAATTTTAGACGTACCTGTTGACGTAAAAAATATTTGTGACTGTCTCATTGAAGGTACGGTACAGTTATTTATAAAAGTGACTGGTGATATTAGGTAGGAACAGACTGTCTCACTTAAACAACGATACGAAGTTAATTTTGTTTTGTATTTTTTTTATCAACTAACACACGTAAATGATTACATTAGAACATAAGAAAATAAAGAGTCTGCAATAGGTCGGTTGGCCTGTGCATGGCAGCTCCTGTCGAGAGTTACTACCACTTAAGACATAACAGAAAATATTAATCCTCACAGCATAAACTCGTTCAAGATTTTTATAAAATATGAATTAAAAGAAATATCATCCACTTATAGTCGAGTGTCACGGCTATTTGACCACTATTTTAATACCATTATAACGAGTGCGTCAGTTCTAACCTAACCTAACCTAACCTAACCTAACTCAACGCAACCTGACCTGACCTGACCTGACCTAAACAAACCAAACCTCCCCTCCCTCCGCCAGGTAACATTGGTGAGTTTAGTCGTCAGGTAAAATAAGCTAGGAAGAGGGGAGGGGGGTCTCTCTCTCTCCAATTTATGGGGGAGATTACTGAACATGACCTCAGGAAGAACCTGGCCAGAGATACGGAGAGCAAGTTTGGTTTATATCAGCCAAGCAGCAGTTCTTATATTTCTTGGCGATGTCTGAACTCTTTTCCCTCCCTCCCCCTGTCTCCCCACCCTCCCCTCCGCTCCCTAGTGTCTTATCTCCGAGTTGTGATGGATGTGAGGTAAGAAAGAGAGAGGAAGAGAAGGGAAAAGAGACAGAGAGAGAGAGAGAGAGAGAGATATATATATAAACCCACACTCCGTTAACCACATACACAACCAGATTTAGAATACCAACGGGATAAGAATTCACAAACATATTTCTCTCCTACGATAAATTCTCTCTCATTTATCTCTCTTATTTTGAGATATCTCTAACCTTGGAGACCTGACATTAAATAAGAACTATAATACAAACTCTACTATATATTTGCTCTCATATCCTATGAACAAAACGGATTCTTTGTAAAATTTATTAAGGAAATAAATTTGTGGTTCTTGATCAATAATTTCAGCTGATGGAAATAAAGGATTTTTTTGGGTGGGGAGGGGTGGGGAGGGGGTGTAAGTGGGTGGGGGTGGTGGGCTGTGAGGGGTGATAGTATAAAGAAAATATGTGAGGGGTGAGGTAAAAATATATTAGAAAATATGAATAAAAAAGAAAAATAATCCGGGATAATAAATAAAACTAAATCTCTTCCGGGATTGTTTTATTAAGTCTTTTAATTTAATAAATTAAAAGGGGTGATAGTATAAAGAAAATATGTAAAAAGAAAAATAATTAAAACAATAATAATAAATAAAAAAAAATCATCCGGGATTATATAAATCTTTTTTTAATATTTGTTTTTTAGTCCTAGATAAAATAAAATATGAAAGATCATCTGATAAATAAAAGTAAAGTTTAATTTAATAAAGAGAGAGAAAAAAACACTAAGTGAAAAACAATAGAAAAAAATAAGAAAACACTCCCAAAAAATATTCTAAAAATACAGATATTTTCTACTAATAAATTCTCATTATGAAAAAACCCAAAACGCAGAACCAGCCTAAAAGAGATTACAAAACTAATTAAAAAAACCCAAATAAAAGTGACTTAATGTTCCCATAACTTTAAAATTACGCGAAAAAAAGTTAACTCCGAAAATTCGTAAACTTTTTTTGGGGGGGTTATAGAGAATTCTGATGGTAATATATGCCATAATTTTCATCATGGGCGTGTGCTCTTGAACTCACCTGTATTGATCTTCCTTAGAGAGAGAGAGAGAGAGAGAGAGAGAGAGAGAGACTCGCCTCCCCAGGATCAGGGACTCAAAGCGATCGTCTTTCTACCTGAGTCACCAGGAGTCGTAGTTGACAAAGATGTTGTGTGACTGTTGTTGGTGATTGTTTTACTGTGGTGAGCTGAGTGGTAGGACGGGCAGGGGTGAGGGAGAGGGAGGTAGATGGGAGAGGGGAAGGTGGAAGAGTGGGGGGGGCTAGGAGGGAAGGGAGGAGTGAGGGTTGCAGATGGAGGGGAGGGGTGTGGGAAGTGAGGATGAGATGGGAGGGAATGGGAGGGATGGAATGGTGGAAGGGAGGTAAGAGGTGGGATAGGGAGAGGAGGTAGAGAGGAATAGGAGAAGTAAAATAAGGGGTGAGAAGTGAGAGGGGATGAGAGGAAGAACTGGAAGGGAAGGTAGAGGGGGAGGAAGTGAGAGGGATGGAAAGGGGTGGGTAGGTGTAAGATAGAGGAGAGAAGGAAAGGGGTTAGAGGGGTGATGGGGATATTTAAGGAGAGAGAGAGAGAGAGAGAGAGACAAACAAGAAGGCGAAGAGGAAGAAGAGAGAAAAAACAATGATGGGGGAGAAGGAAGTGAGAAGTGAGAGAATAGGAAGGAAAGTAAAGAGAGTAAGATAAGTAAGAGAAGAGGAAGATGGGCTGGAGAAGAGGAAAGGAGAGGGAAGAAAGGGGAGAATCAGGGCGAGGGGGAGAGGTAGAGGGAGGAAGGGAAGGTGAGGGGTGAAAGAACAGAATAGAAGGAGTATGAGAACTGAAGGAGGAGGGAAGAGGGATAAGGGAAGGAAGACGGAATAGGAGGAAGGGGACAGGAAAGGAGAAGGGGCAGGGGAAGGAGGGAGAGGTGGGAGAGAAGAGAGCGGGGAAAAGTTGTAGGGATGAAAGGGGTGGGGGAGGCAGGGGAGGAGGAAGGGGAAAGGAAGAGACAAGAGGAGAAGAAGAGGGTGGTTGTAATGCACCGCGAGGAAAGAAAGGAGGAGGGAGGAAGGGGAAGAAGGTGGGAGGCAAGGGGAGAGGAAGGGAGGGAGGGAAGAGGAGGGAAGAGGTAAGGAGGGAGGAAGCGAAAGAGAGGATGAAAGGAGAGAAAGTGATGGAGGAATGAGGGAGGGAGAGGGGGGCAAGGGAGGGAAGTGTGTGTGGGGAGGGGGGTGAAGGAGGAGGGTCAAGTACATCTCACTCTTGTTCCACCACATCAAGCGTCAGACAGTATTCTTTAGGTCATGTTTCTCTGAGTCCTCTTAACGCCCTACTGAGTTTCGTCTCTGTTCTATTTTATTATCTTTTTGAATATTTTTTTTTGTATATGTCCAGATTTATGTGTGGAGAGAGAGAGAGAGAGAGAGATATTTACGATGTTTTTCTGTTTGTGTTGAGTTACGAGAGGAAAGTTGCCAAGCGGTGTTTTTGTGGTTCAATATTTTTTTTTTGGGCTACTCGTATTTATCGCACATAATTTTGCGTCTTGCTATATGACGTTTTTGTATTTATTATAATGTTGATTCTATTTATATAATTCAATTTCGAGGAAACTCATTGTTGAATAATAAATAACTCAACGAATAATTAATACATATACAAAATTGGCATGTGAGTATAATTTTATTCACTTGTATATTTTTTTCACCCTTGAAGGTTCACACACACACACACACACACACACACACACACACACACACACACACACACACACACACACACACACACACACACACACACACACACACACACACACACACACACACACACACACACACACACACACACACACACACACACCGCTGCTTCCTGGATTCCCATCACCTTCCACCCAACATTCTTCTTTACCTTATTCATTCCTCTCCTTGGT